AATGTTAATGGCTTAAACGTGCCCCAGAAACGAAGAAAGATTTTCCATTATTTGAAACAACATAATAATGATTTGATATGTTTGCAGGAGACTCATATAACTTTAAAGGATTCTAAATTTTGATGAATTCCCGTCTGGGCACACATTTTACTGCTCCAGCCCCTGGGAAAAAAGGGGGAGTGGTAATTTATGTGAAGAAAACTTTTTCAGCTAAACTAATTGAGGCTGATTCTGAAGGAAGATATCTTTTTGTGGAATTATTATTACAAGGCCGAAAGGTTCTTATTGTTGGACTATATGCTCCCAATCAACAACAGAAACAATTTTATAAGTTGCTGCATGGCAAGATATCTCAGTTGGATTATAAATCGGTAATTTTGATGGGTGACTGGAATGGGGTTTTAGACCCAACTATAGACAAAAGAAGTTCCTCTAAAACTTTTATTCAAACTAAATTACCTATGACTTTCTTTGATTTGAAGGAAGAATTGGAGCTTATTGATATTTGGCGAGAAAGGAATACAAGTGATAGAGACTTTACCTTTTATTCTGATAGACACCAGTCATTTTCAAGGATTGATTTTTTTTTGATTACTAGTGACTTCCTCCCTAGAGTGAGGAAGGTGAAAATTTTTCCTAGAACATTGTCAGATCATAGTCCGGTGTGGATGGAGTTATATTCGGAAGACGGGAATAGAAGATCCTGGAGATTGAATGAGAACTTATTTAATCGGGAGGAGTTCGTACAAAAGTGTAAAGAACATTTAAAGGACTTTTTTACTATAAATATGAATAAGGGAACATCGATGTCTATGGTGTGGGACGCTAGTAAAGCATATATGAGGGGAATTTTGATTCAATTGAATAAAGTTTTTAGGGAAAAAGGGTCACAAAGACGTAGAGAAATAGAAGAAGAGATCAAATCAAAAGAACAAGAGTTGGTTCTTAACCCTACTGATAATAATTTAAAGGTATCTATAAAGATGCTTAAGGAACAATTTAACATGTTGATGGCAGATCAGGTGGCTACCAATCTGTCGTATATGAGACATAATACTTTTTGCAATGCGAATAAGCCTGGGAGGTGGTTGGCTTATCAGTTACGAAAGAAACAGAAAGCTAGAATTATAGAGAAAGTAAAATATAAAGGTACTGAGGTTTTTCAGCAAGATTTGATTAAAAAAAGCTTTTTGGACTTTTGCACAAAATTATATTCAAGTGATAATATAAGGGGTTTGGATATAGATAAATATTTACAATCAGTACATTTTCCTAGACTTTCAGAGGAACAACAAAATGGGATGAATAGTTTAATTACTGTGGAGGAAATTGGCTTAGCTATTAAGCAGTTAAAGGTTGGAAAGTCTCCTGGAACAGATGGACTGACTTCTAGGTATTATAAGATTTTATCTGAAGAAATGATAGAGCCACTAAAGGAACTCTTTAATAGTATTTTGTTGGGTATGCAAGTTCCTCCTTCTTGGAAAAGAGCTTTTATATCACTGATTCCGAAGGAAGATCAGGATCTTACAGAGCCTAAGAATTATAGGCCAATTTCATTATTGAATGTTGATTATAAGATCTTTACAAAAATTTTGGCAAATAGATTAATGCAGGTTATGAAAGACTTGATTCATAGTGATCAAGCAGGATTTATAACAGGGAGATATATGAAACATAATGTTAGACAAATTATTAACTTAATTGAGTACTTGGATAAGAATAATCAGATTCCTGTGGCTTTTATCTTTTTGGACGCTGAAAAAGCTTTTGATCAATTGGACTGGCAATTTTTATTTTCTTTGGTAGAGAAAATGAATTTTGGGGATAATTTTTTACATGCACTTAAAGCTATATATCAGCAGCAATCTGCACAAATTGTTGTAAATGGGGGATTGACTGAGAATTTCAATATTCAAAAAGGGACAAGACAAGGATGTCCATTATCCCCATTGTTATTTGTTTTAACATTGGAAATTTTATTGATTCAGATTCGGGAATCGAAGTTAGTTAAGGGTGTAAAGATAAGGAAGAATGAGTATAAATTGCGGGCATTTGCGGATGATTTGGTTTTAATTTTGGAACAGCCGAATCAGGCGATTGATGGTTTATTAGAACTTATAACACAGTATGGGAATGTTTCTGGTTTTAAAGTTAATAATTATAAGACTAAGATATTATCTAAGAATATGTCAGTTAAAGAAAGGGAAAGTTTGATTAAAGCCACAGGTTTTCAGATGGTAAAAAAGGTTAAATACTTGGGAGTATATCTAACTGCTTCAAATGGAAAATTGTACAAGAACAATTATGAACCACTATGGGCAAAAGTCCAAAAGGATTTAATAGATTGGAAAAAATTGCAATTGTCATTGTTGGGGAGAATTTCAGCTGTAAAAATGAATGTTCTACCAAAGTTTCTTTTTTTGTTTCAGATGATACCTATTCTTAAAAAAGAGGCAAATTTGGAGGAATGGCAAAAGGGTATCAATAATTTTATATGGGCCGGGAAGAAACCAAGGGTTAAATTTAAGATATTACAGGATGCTCGAGAAAGAGGGGGACTTAAGGCACCCAATTTGAAATTATATTATGATGCAGCCGCCCTAACTTGGTTAAGTGATTGGCTTAATTTAACAAATATGGATATTCTTTTTTTGGAAGGTTGGGATTTAATATATGGTTGGCATGCATATTTAATTTTTAATAAGAAAGTTGATCGGACTTTTAAATCACATATTTTGAGGAATGCCTTACTTCGTGTTTGGAAGAAGTATTATTATAGATTAAATTATAAAATACCTATCTGGGGGATTCCCAGACATGCAATTGAGGGAACCTCTAAGGGGACAAATTTTGATAAAATTTCATATAAAGAATTGTTAATTTGTTCTGGTTCGAATTGGCATTTGAAATCCCTAGATGTATTAAGGCAGCAAAATATTCTACAGTCATGGTTTCAATATTTACAAATAATGGATAGATGGACTGTAGACAAGAAAGAGGGAATAACACTAGAAGATAGACAATTGGTTATTCAGATTAAAAACCAAGGTCCGGCTCATATAAAAAGAATATATAATGTTTTATTAGAGTTAGATTCGGAAACAGAATTGGTTAAAGATTGTATGATTAAATGGGCTCAGAATATACAGGAGCCGATCTCATTGGATTTATGGGAGATAATTTGGATAAGAAATGTTAAATTTACACAAGCTCAAAATTTGAGAGAAAATTTTTATAAAATGTTTTATAGATGGCATTTAGATCCTAAAAAATTATCTTGTATGTATTCCAACATACAGCCCAAATGTTGGAGATGTGGCAATAATGATGCGACATACTTTCATATTTGGTGGAATTGTAAAAAAGTAAAGGCTTTTTGGATTATGATTTGGTGGAACATTCAAAAGATTTTTAGAAAGAAGATAAAGTTTACTCCTCAACTATTTTTACTTGGTATTTTTGTTGACTTAAATGAAAAAGAAACTACTTTGATGTTGAATTTATTAACTGCAGCAAGGTTACTAGTAGGTCTATATTGGAAGAAAGATTCTTTGCCTACTTTAGAAGAATGGATATTTAAAGTATCTAGTTTTGCAGAAATGGCAAAAATTTCTGCTTATTTAAAGGATCATACACAAGAAAGATATATTACTGTATGGGGAAGGTGGATAGATTATATTCAGAAAAAATATGGAATTAAAAAGTTTTATTTATTTTATGAATGAATATCAAATATTATAGAGAATTGTTTTATAAGTTATGGAGTTAAAGGTTAATTATGATATTTTTTTTTCTTTCTCTTTTTTTTTCTTTTTTTTAATTATTATAATTTTCTTTTTCTTTTTTTTTCTTAACCCTGTATTCTGCTCTGGGAAGTGAAGGGAGGGGGGGTGGGGGTGGGAGGGAGGGTAAGGGGGGGGTTTCTCTATTTTAAAATTTTATTGTATTTTTATAAATGATTGTATGTTTTAAAAAAATAAAAATTTTCAATTAAAAAAAAAAAAGCAAGGCTACAGCGGGCTTTTATTTCATTTGAATTTAGTAGCTGCCTAATGCCAATAGACTTAAGACTAGCCTTCTACTCTTAAAACATTTGCAGACTTTTTGTGTTCTGCCTTTATTTCACTGGCAATATGAAAAAAGTTGCAACGTGATTCCAAAAGCATAACTGAGCATATATTGGGGGAAAGGAGATGCTATAATGGATGCCAACTATGAAATTTCTGCAGTATTTCAAGCAGCAGCAGAAATAGTCACCCTCTGTTCTTCAGAGGCCACATAGGGTTTACCTGAACTGCTCTCTTAATTTAGAAAAAGAAGTGGAAGAGGGAAAGATGGCCATGTTTTCAAACCACCACCACCCCGACTTTTCTTGACTTGTGCTACTCTTCTATTTTTATTCCTCTTCTCCTCACTTCAGTTAAAGAGGATTAGTGGGAGCAGTGCACACTAATATGCCTGGGAATCAGAACGGGGATAATCCAGTAACTTTTCCTGTTGGGATGAGCAGCATTTGGAAAGGGTGTCCTGATTTTAGAGATGATGGGGGAACCTAGATTTTGCATTTGAACATCCGTGAAAATACTTGTCTCTGGACCTACGGCTTTCCATAGAACGTTCTAAAGTATACCTGTCCAAGTAGGACATTAAAAAGAAAATACTAAGAACCCAGATGTAGTGGGTTGTTGAAGAGAATCCATAAACATATCCTGATGTTTACTGAATTAGAAAATTATCAGAGTGTTGCAATTAATTTTCTGCAACATTGGCAAGAAAGATGAAGATATCTTCTTCCTTGAGTTGGAATATGTACATAGGAAATTGTTTGTGTACTTTTTTATTTTATAGTTCATTCTATTCTCTAAGGCAAAAGTAACAATAAATCATGCAGAGCAAAGACCAAAATAACCTGGGTCATCTTTGATCCTTAATGAAACCTAAGCTATCCACAAAGTCTCTCTATCAGCAGTTTGTGAAATAATTATCAACACATTCTGTCTAACATAGTTACACATTATTTTTTATTTGATACCATTCTTATTTTTACAGTGTGTAGAAACATACAATACATGTGAAACTGCTTTCTCCTTATACAGTCTGTCTCTTCTGCCTTCCACTGCAGTTAAGTCACCCATCTCAATCTGGAAACACTAATCCACTTGGAAATTGTTGAACCACTGAATGTAAAGTGTAGCATTACTTCCTTACAACTACTATTCCTTGGCTCCGAAAGTTAAGTGCTATTACCAGCTACTTGAGAAAATAAAAAAATACCAGAATTTTAAGCCAAAAATATGTTGGTCATGGAAAATAGTATCTTAAACGATCTTGGGCAGGGGGGCAGGAGATAAGCGTATTTTTTCTATTAAATTTGAGTGCAAAAATAAATTTTAAAATACTCAAAAGGATAATATCTCGTGTTTATACTGAGGTAGATGAGTCTCAGAGTTTTGATAATCAAAAAGCATGAGCATTTGGTAAAGCTCAACAATCTGCAGAATACAGCAAATTTTAGAAAAAAGTTTGCATAATTTATATAGTCATAGAACGCTGCATAGATTGATGCAAAACGTAAATACTTGGATTACACTGAGTCATCAGTGTTGAAACCATAAAATGGAAGCAGGTTAAGAAACTGCATCATAATGGGATATTCTGGAGCAAAGACTTTGAGAGTTGACAGAAATCAATGCCTTATTTAAAGGTCATTAACTCGGGTCATTAATGAGCACCTTCTGGAGATTTTCCGGAACCTCTGTGTAACAGCACCAATTCTGATTTTTTTTTTTTTAACATTACAACGAACTTGCTAAAGTTGAAGCAACTTCTCTTATTAACTGATGCGGCTAAAAGAATACATTTACAAACAGGCCCTTTACAGATTTATTTTTATTTTTTCATTCAAAGGATCTCACCACAGTACTACTGTCTGATTACACTGTTAAGCCTCTGAAACAGAACAGAACATACACTGGCTGAATAAACCAACAGTAAGCCACTTAAACCATTAGTGGTTTGGGATACCATGACTCCTCCTTGTTCAGAGACATTTATGCTGAATCCTACTGTCTTCCTAAATGACAGGAGCCCATGATCTTTTCCAAGTGGAGCAAAGATGAATTCCCTGTAGCTCTTCCACATTCCTAAATAGAGTTCTCTCCGTATTTTGTCTTGCAAAGAAGTATCCAATTCTCTGCAATTTTCCATAATCAACTTTATCCAGCAAACCTATCTGGATAAAAGGGATTGGGGGGGGAGAAACCTGTTTGAATAAAAGTATAGGGGACAGTGGCAGAAACAGTTAATGGTTACCTGCTGATGGGTGTTCATTGTGTTCATGCCCACAATTCACCTACTCCGTGTAACAGCCAGATATGTCTTATAAGTCAAATAATGAGATTTATTTTTTGTAGTTGTTGCTGTACATAAAAACAAGAAACTTGTTGAGAAATTGTTGTCATTAAATGGGGGGAGGGAGTGTTTCTACCACCTTTTAATGTTGAAATGTAGTACCTGTCAGGGTAAATGGCAATTTGCATATACATCAAAAGGAAATTGTTTATTATTAGCAGAGAATCATCAGGTGACAAAGATATACCCATTGCATGTAAAAGAAGAGAGTATACATATATACACATACAGATCTATTCTGCAATTTAATCCAAGCACATCTCTTTACCTGATTGCAGATTGTCCAGAAGGGATTTTATCAATCATCAGACAAACTAGAATAGCAAGTTTGTCATGACTGACTGTTCTGTAAAATATTGAGAAATTCTGAAAGAGTCCTACGCCAACTTTCTCCAACCAGGCACCCTACAAGGTACCATTACCACAATCCACAGTAAGAATGAAGATAATGGAAGCTTTAGAAAAAAAAATAAATTTGAACAACACAAGGTAGGAAAAGAATGTCTTAACACATGCTGCTTGGTTTGGTGGGTTGGCAGATAAATCCAACAGACCAATTTGGCTTGCCCAGATAGAAACCAAACCTTGGGTTGGGCCCCAAACTTTCTGCAACATGCAATACTTCAAGGTATCTTCAGGCAATATGAAAGCCACCATTCTGCCCCTCCAGCATGAGAGGAATTGCTCTTCCCCTGCCACAGTGACACCACCGCACCAGCAGACTTTTGCCATTTAAGCTGGCTGCTTTAGATCCAGTAGAAGGGTGTCCTCTTTTGTCTCTGGTTTGATCAGGTTCTTCTCAGGAGGAATCACTATTTTCTCATCTGCCTGAGAAAGGTTTTTTGATCCGTTCCCTTTGTCCTTCTTCACTTTGGTTATCACTTCAGAGTAAGAAATTTCTTCGAAGGCTGGTTCAGCTTCCCTACTTTCTGTTGCTGTTTGAGTGCCAGATTCTTGGGTTCCTTGTTGGCCTTCAGCCCCCGGTTGCTCTTTAGTTTTCCTATACTTTTTCAAATTCTCCTTAATTGGTGCTGCATTGGCAATATTTTTCTTGAACCGTATCCCAGTCTGTCTCAACCTCTCTCCCGATTGCCTTATTCGTTCCCTTCTCTCGGGGGTTACTATTCGAGTACGAAGCCTGTCCACCTTCTTGCCAAAATTTTGCCTTGTTTTCTGAAGGTTTTCTCTTGAAAATGCTTTTTTGATGATGCTGATGCGCCTCATCCCCAATTTCTTTAAACGGGCTGTTCGGCTTTCTTCTATGTAATACTCCTCGTCAGACGAGAGATCATCGGGTGGGCAGAAGGCATCTTCTCTGCTTTCCTCTTGTGTTCTGTCTTGGACAACGGTCAGAGAAGATGGACACTGAATGTCTTCCTACAAGTAAGAGCACAATGTTACGTCTCTACCACACTTCTCAAGAATGGCTCAAAGTGAATTTAGAAAGTTCAAGATACTTGCTCCCTTAACCATTCTATTTTATGCTATAGATTTTTCAGAACATTCACAAAGATTCAGTAGCATAAGGGCTTGCGATTATTGTCCTGTCCCTGTGTAGCCTATTTTATTTTTCCAAACAACTTTCTAATTTTTCATATGTTAGGGGTTAGTCCAGACCAGGGGTAGGCAACCTTGGCTCTTTTATGACTCGTGGACTGCAACTCCCAGAATTCCTGAGCCAGCTATGCTGGCTCAGGAATTCTGGGAGTTGCAGTCCACGAGTCATAAAAGAGCCAAGGTTGCCTATCCCTGGTCCAGACCATTAATAAGAAATTAACCACAGAATCATATTTTTCTTATACTTTATTGCTCCTTCCTCTTTAACAGTATTAATTGCTGTTAATAACCCAGATAATTACTGTTAATAACCCAGTTAATAATAACCCAGATTTGAACTGCGGTCAAGAAGAAATCCTGATGAGTCTTTGTAGCATAATGAGCCTTTGTATAGTAATAAATGTCAGTCACACATACAAACACAAAAACATACAAGCTCTATGGGGAGTAAACCTTCAGCCCATTCATGATTAATTAAAAATAGTTAAGTGACCAGTTGCTCTTTTGTCTATTCCAACCTTTGTTGTTTTCAGTACAGCTACCCTAGAAAAATTGTAGAGTTGAGCTATAGAAACAAATTCAAGAATAAAAGTCATATGGAGATTAAAGATGGGCTAGTAATCACAATCAAAACCAAAGAGACAGGTAATGGGGATTGCGTCCATGGAGAAAAATAGAGAAGCAAGGCTTGGAATCTTACAGGTGACATTCTAGCAGTGGCCAAATCACCAAAAGGCTCCAGATTGACGTCTAAAATAGCAATATGTCCTGAAAATATGCTGTTTGATCTCTATCTAAAAGAGAATCATCTTTCCAAACTAGGAGATTGTTATACAATTTGAGATCTCGAAGGGACATGCAAATGTGGCAGTAGAAAAACTTGGAGGAATTTGTTTTAAAGTATTTATAAAATGAATATACTTCAATGTATGCATAAAGAACAGTATACAGAAGGAGCAATTAGAATACCGTGCAGCATAAACAATGTACTGTTGTATAAAAAATAACATATCTTAGTAAAAACCTTCTAAATATCACATTAACTAAATATCATACTAACAACTATCAGCCTCTCATGGCCTTCCAAAACAGCCTGGTCTGTACCTGGAATTGTATAGATCTTTTAGTCCAATCCCCTACTCAGATTGTTGTATCATCCTGGGGAAATGGCTGTCCATTTTTTTTTTAAGTCTTCCACTGATGGAGCATCTATAACTCCAGGAAGGAGGCTGTTCCATTCCTTAATGATTCTCACAGTCATGCAATTCTTCCTTATTTCAAGTTTGGATCTCTATAAACCTTCCACTCACTGGTTTTTGTCTTACCCTCAGGTCTATAGGGGGTCAATTCAGTCTCTTCCCACTGACATCCCTTCATGTAGTGGAAGGCTGCTATCATGTCTCCCTTAGCCTTCTCTTCTTTAGGCTGAACATACTGAATTCCTAATTATTCAAAATGTCAAGCTCCTTACCATTCTTGTGGCTGTTCCTTGCACTCTTTCCAGTTCCTCAGCATTTTTCTTGTATTATGGAGACCAGAACTGGACAGTTTTTCAGCTATGGTTTGACCAGTCTAACATAAAATGTAGTATAACTTGCTAAGATCCTGACACTATACTTTGATTGATGCCACTCAAGATTGCATTGCCTCTCTTGGCATCTGTGGCGCACTGTTGGCTTATTCTTAATCTGTTATCTCCTGGGACACCCACATCTCTCTCATCTACTAACCCAGATACTGCCTAACTTATACCTGTGCAACTGGTTTTTCCTGCCTAAATTCAGAGCCTTACATTTATCAACATTCTCATGCATCTGGCTCTGAGATTTGCAGACTTCCTTGTGTCGGAGAGAAGAAATAAGATGTTCCAAAGGAGAGGAGCTCCCATAGAGAATGCTTGCTTCTGTGACTGCTCCCACCACACCTATTACGGAGAGGGTGGCTTGGCATTTGTTCAGATTGGGCAAGCAGATTGTATTTGAGAAAGGCAGTAGCCTGAATTACAGTACTCTAGTTGATAAGGTGGTTCCTAATGCATCAGTTAAAGCTGGGCAGGGCCCCTGAGACCATGGTTTCCAATTGCTCTTCTAGCAGGACTTTGAATTCATGAGTAGCACAAGTTATCATCTGGTACTCTGCTTGGGACTACAAGTCAACTGAGAGACAAAGTTGGTACTATTTCAGAATCACCAGGCCTCCCAAAAGTGGGCAGTAAGAAAGATGATCTTGCCAGAAATGTGTAAGCTTTGTTGCCAAGGTTACAGGGAGTAAAATGAGATTTAAATCCAGAACCTCCAGATAACATTCTGAAGTGGTTCAAGCAGATATCTCCCAAAGTAACTGAACTAAAAGAAGGAGAAGTAAGTCCTTGACTTGCGGCCATTCATTTAATGGCCATTCAAAGTTACACAGTACTTTAAAAAATGGCTTATAACCAGTCCTCACACATAAGACTGTTGCAGCATCCCCCGCGGTCTTGTGAGCAAAATGGGTGCTTGGCAACCCATTTACAATGGCTGCAGCAGCCCCGGAGTCAAGGAATTGACATTTACAACCTTTCCAGAGGATTTCCAACAAGCAAAGTCAATGGGGGAACCTGGATTCGCTTAATGATCATGTGATTCATTTAACAAGTGTGGCAAAAAAGATTGTAAAATCAGTATAACTTGCTTAATGACAGTATTGCTTAGTGATGGAGGTTCTGTCCTATTTGTGACCGTAAGTGGAGAGCTACCTGTACAACACAATCAGATTTGCAAGTTTTGTTATTATATTTAGTTTTAATAAAGGTAGTTTTTAGCCTTCTGTGGAGTTGACTTTTTTGGATTGGACTATCTAGTGGGACTAAGAGAACCAATAGCCACCTCATCTTGCTCAGGGTCCATCTGATCCGCTTTCTCTCCATCCAGACCCTGCCATCCTCCTGGCAGCAGTTTAGAACTTCCATTGCATTCTCCATTCAACCTGCAGTGGAGTTTCCCCATTGAGTAATATCACCTCACTAATACTTCACCTCCAACTGGCAGTTTACCTCTTTCAGGGGCATCACAAAGATTTTAACAGGACAGGGGAAAGTTACTATAGCATCTTCTACTGGAGTGCTCTAAGACTCAGCTTCTCCCCACCCAACCACTCATTCAAGGAATAGAATCATCATAGTATGGGATCTCAGACAGCCCAAAAAGATGCTGTGGAAAACAGAGTCAAAAGCTATTGAGAAATCTAGTAGAGTAAGGATTGTCATACTCCTCCTACTAAAGCCCTGCCACATGTCATCCATGAGGGCAGCCAATATGATCATAACATAGTCTAAAACCTGACAGTCACGGGTCCCAATAATCTTCCCCCAAAGAGGTTGAAGATAGATCCCATACGATTTAAATTAAGCCTTTTTAGAGGCTGCTGGAAAAGAGACATTGGCTACAGCTTGGATGCCAGGATGTTCTGGGGATTAATCACTATCTTCCAGCATCTGAAAATGTCAGAGAATGAAACTGGGCCCTTGTGTTCGTACATCACACATCCTAATATTTCCTAGAAGATATTTTGCTCTTTAATGGAACATACAGCATAAAAAGGGAAGTTCAGGAAAGGTCAGCAAATAATTCCAGTTCTGAAAGATTTAGAGAGATTGTTTAACATTTCACCCAAAACTTTTGAGGAAAAAATGTAATTTGCTTAGTTCAGCAGGCTCAGTTCTTCCAGACAAAAGATAATTATGTTGATCTTTGAACTATTATGTGATAAACAAGTAAGCCAGAATTCATTTGTTTCTGATACAAGCATAACGTACATGATAGAACGGAGTAATGTGATGTTTTTTTCTTTTTCAAAATTAAAAGAAAAAAATTTAGACCCAATCTTTGCAACAGACTGAAAAATGAGGTGGAGTTATTTATTTTTTCTGTTACTGATTTTATGTCTGAGACTGGCTTTTTTGAAACCAACCAATGTTAAGATTAATCAGATTTGAAATTTAAATAAGAAATACCGTGTTTATCCAACCCAGTTTTGAAAATGGAACCTTTCCTCCCAACTTCTGGGAAAGAACAAACATAATTTGCTGTAGTTTCTTGTGGCCACTAAAGATGGCTTTGCTGCAGATCAATCCATCCTCTACAAAATCCCACAAAATGGCTGCTTTCAGCTGAGCAAATCATATGAACTTATTTTGTATGTATGCAGTCACTTTATTCCTCTCCTTGCTCAAAAAAAAAAAAAAAATGCTTGGAAGCTACAGTCAATTTCCAATTATCTCTGAGTAGAAAATAATGGCAATGTCTCCCAAATAATGCAGAATATAAAACTATTGCTTAATACCGGCTTTTAAATCCTGATTCATTTGGAGGGTATTAACCATAGTTCAACTAATAGCCAACTGCTGTTTCCTCCAATGATAATAAGCAACTTCTTTCAAGCCTGTCAAAATCACAGCAAAGCAAATTTTAGTCTGAAGAGTTTGAACTTTTGCACATTATACAAAATTCTAAATAATATTTAAGTCAATGTGACATTCAATATTCTTCTCAGTGAAGCATGTTGACCAATTGTCCAACTAAACTTCTTGGAGGAAAGAGAGAATAATCAATTAATTGGCAACTAATGACGATGTTTGCTGGTTTCCACCAAACTCCATATTCAATGATGATCAATCACTTTTGGAGAAGATGCTTTCATTGTATTGCTACAGCAATATTAATCAATCTTTCCACCATTCTGCTGTGTTTTGGTGCAACTTTGCTCCTTGTTGAGTTGGGGCATCGTGGAAAATGCAAACATACTGCTAAGCCCATGGACCATTCAGCCACTTGGCTATTTATACTCTATCTAGTGATGATTAATTCTGCTTCCTGAATATTGGATCCCTCTGTGAAGAACAGACATAACTAGAGATGACATTTCTAAATTTCATAATCAAGACATGCTAACATAATTCATAATTATATACATAATTATGAATTATATAACATAATTCATAATTATATACATAATTTATTGAATTCCAGTGTTACAGCATCAAAACCCATATGTGCGAGAGGCATATAAATGCACCTAAGATTAGAATTTGTTGGTTCTTTTATAAATGTACCATACCATCCACAATAAAAATAAAAGCAAACAGTAATGCAGGAGGATTTTTTTTTTCCATGCCCAAATATGACGGCCGAAGTGTGATGTCTTTTATCAACTGACTTGTCTGGAAATAATAATTCTCATGGTTTCAGTGCAACCACAGGAGCAATCCAGCCAAAACTAAGGACTACTAAATTCATTTTTTAATTTTTTAAGGAAGAGTTTACATGAGCATCTATAATTCTCATTTTGAAAGAAACATGAGTTCAGTAGGGCTCAGCATCACAGCAAATGAGTTGTAGCTGAAAAAATATTTAGGTTGGGTTCTTCCCACTATTTGTTTCCAGTGCAGCACATCATAATTTCAATGAATGTGATATGTCAACTTCCTCAACATATAAAAAAATTACACAAACAAAGGCATTTCATGTGTCATCAAGCATTTTGATGAACTAAACAGCAACATTTTTTTCTCACTGCAACTGTTATTCCTTGAAAGGAATATAATATTCCAATGGCTAAAAGTGAAGACAATGTAATACCTGATGACCTTAACGAGAAGGAAGGAGTCTGGCTCTCCAACAAGACTTGGGATTCTTAAACATACTACTGCATTTGCAATTTCAATGCTCCTGCAGCTAAGCACAACATTAATTATTTGGACACCATATACGAAATCAGCGTTATGTACAATAAAACACTTTGATTAGAATAGAACCATTTTAAATAACAAATTAATTTAACACAAGAACTGTTCACTTCTTTTCCAAGTAGACACTGTGAATTTTGCAAGTCAATTAACTTTATTTTTCCACCTTATATTGATATGTCCATTTAAGTGCCAGGATTTAGGGTTTTTTTGGGGGGGGGGTTAAGACCAAAAAATATTTCTTTGGGAAAAAGGGAATTTGGAAGCAAACTTTTGCCTGGAAAAACAGCAGAGAGATAACATACTTATGTTAAAGGCAATTAGTTAGCAAAGAAAACATAGCTGAGCTCTTAAAGGGGAAAATACTATGTAATTAATGGAAGCACTACACTGTGCAAAGAATTGCTGAGGCTGAATTCTTTACTTAACCCTCTGAAAAAATAACAGGGACGACAGTCACGCCTGGAATACTAGTCATGCTATCCAACTGCCTGACTCAGATTGCCTTTCACAGATGCAACGCACAGTCTTGCTGATCTACACTTAATCTTATGTTGGCTGGCTGAGAGACTTCCCAAACTAATAATAGACTGCCTGCCTTGCCACCAGTGGATATAAACTCCAGCACATTTAGAAGCAAAAATCAATGTTGAAAACCCACAAAGCATAACACATTTTGAGATGGAGAGGGCTTTTAAGAAAGAACCATTCTTTGGATTGTTAAGCAAACCAGAAAGTGTGAAGTTGCAATAGCAGTAACAGCAGGTTTACCTGGTAAATGACAACACGAAACTTGTTTTTCCTCAATATTTCTTCCTGTTTGGTCTCCACCTTCTGCACATTAACATTCTGCTTCTCTACTCGGACTCTCACTTCTTTGACCCGAGCACTAACTTTGCGCGTTTTCTCCAACAGCTTGTTAACTGTGTATCCTGTGTTGCCATGTGCCTGAGCCAGCTTTAGAATGTCGATCTGAATTGTCTTGATGGCGTCTTCCATTTCTCTGTGGCGCTGCTCAATCCGCTTTTGACTGGCCTGCACGCTATCTACTATAGTGGCTACCTTGTCCAGGACTCTGACAATGGTAAATGCAGCATCTTGTTCTTCTTCATCATCTGTGATGCTCGACTGGCGATTTGGGTGGATTTTATCCATTTCCAGGGCTGCACGATGATCCATACTGCCCGTCTATGGATCAGTCTATGGGAGTTGAAATATAACAGCCGCTCAAACCTCAGTGGGACAATCCTGGCACTGATGCAAGAAGGTTGTTCGACAGCTGTCTTTAAAGGAATGTTCAAAAGCAGGGTCTGAAACTCCACCCCAAGGCACTTCTCAAATATTTATACCCACAAAATAGCCACGCCTGATTGTTCAAGTGCCTCCTGCAATATGAACCCTCTAAAATTAGGAAGCAGCACTCTGGGAAAAGAACATGCACTGAAAGAAGCACATTACTAAAACCAATAAACTTATTTGAGTTAATCTAGGAACAGTTAAATAATATAGCAATCAAAGAACTAACCCACAATCTGTTAACATCCATGTTACTTCTATTTTAATTTAAGTTATTGTGTTTCTTCTTGTGTTCAGGTGGTAGGGAAAGGATCAATGCTTTTTAACAGACCTTGGGCAATTGAAATGACATTTCCCATTTTCTTTCAAAGCACATAGGTTGCTCCTTACAATAATAAATAAACGCATTTGGGACAGGTTAAATAAGAAAAGAAAACATTGCATTGGCATACCTTTCCAGTTGAAATATTCAAAGCCTTTTTATTGAACAAATTATTTATTCCTACATGCAGAATTGGAAAGCCTAAAACTACATGTTAAACAGTTGGAACACACCCTAGTTACATTTTAGCTCTGAATCTTCCAAACAATTACTAACATCCTATTAATATAATAAATACAACCAGCAGACTTTATTTGGAGACACATTCTCAGCTCTTGAAATTATTCTTTACAAGAGCACAATTTTTTTTATATTATTTTTGTTTTTTTGCATTTTAATCACAAAGACTGTACAATTGTGTTTGCTGATGTGAAAACAGGTATCTTCTTTAGAAAACTGTAGTAAATATGAAAATTGTTTAAACAGTGGCTAACACAGTTACATCCCTATCAGGTATGTGGATTATTACCATAATTTGTAACAAAAAAGCAATATATTTGTCTGTCCAGGACAAATGTGCTCTGCTCAGCTGAGCAGTTTTTCGAATAATGAACTGTATATTATAATTATTATTTTACAATTTAAAAATAAAGTGTCAACTATTTATGCAGAAGATGGCGCTGAAACCTGGGCCATATATCTTGGATTGGATCCAGACTAAAGAAGCAGTCCTTTACATACTTACCTGGGAATAATTTCCATTAAGCTGAATGGAACTTATTTCTGAGGAGAGATGTATAGGATTGCATTCTAACTTAATTGCACAATTTGTTTTCATTGAAAACAATGGGAATTTAGATTAACTTGTCCACTGATTCTTATGAGCACTAGGTAGAGCTAACTTAGTCTGGATTCAGCCCATTCTAAATGTAACAATTACACACAAAAACACATCTCCACATTTCATGCGATTGGCAGTGTCTAAAAAAATCCATTACTAAGTTTTAAAAACATTTAAATATCTATGGTATTTAAACACAGTGTCTTCTAGTTCCTCATAAGAAAAGTATGTTGTAAACATCTTTATCCTTTTTGCTAGGAAACCGGATGGGGTCTATTTTCATTTGTTGAATAACCATTGGTGAAATGTCTCTCTTTTCAAAATTCTTACATTCCATGATTAAAGCACAAGTCTTATCAATATAACCATGGGATACAAATACAAGAAATAAACTAACATCTTCCTCAAACCATGAAATGGGAAGTTACTAGAGCAGTCCATAGCTATTAGCTGCTTCCTGGAATAAAACAAAACAGCTACACTAAAAATAATAATAACAATAATAATTAAAATGTCCAAAAATAAGGCCTCTGAAATAAATATTTCCATTGTTTTAAAAAAAGGTAATAAAATTGTACATCACATGGTCAATGTAGGTATAAAAAATGATGCTAAACCATTCTGGATGATGTATCTGATGTAAAGTGGCCTAGATTTTGTTTCTGCCGCCGTCCTCTGTTGTTTTGGGGACATTTCCTATTAACAGAAGCAAGCAGGAGAGAAAAATGGATCAGTAAACAAAAGTATTTAAAAACATTTTTTTACAATTATAGGTAGTCCTGGCTTAGTTACAATTGGAACCAACAATTGTGCTGCTAAGCGGTGCAGTCCCTAATGAAAATATCATGTGACCATGACAGACTTATGATGTCATTTCCCATTTGGTCATTAAGTGAGTCACCATGAGTTGTTAAACAAGATATTAATGAACATGACTTGCAATTTTAATATCGGCTTCTCCATTGACACTGCTTGTCAGAAGCCGGTTGCAAAGCACATAAATGACAGTGGGACGCTGTTATGGTTTTAAGCCCCTGCCTGATGCAAAGTGCCCAAATGTTGATCACATGACTATGATAATCAATTATTTGCAATGATCTTAAACACAAGCACTGGTCATAAAGTTACTTGATCAGTGCAGTTGTAACTTTGAACCATTGCAAAACAGGGCAGTCATTCAGAGAAGTCTCTATCTATCTATCTATCTATCATCTATCTATCTATCTATCTATCTGTCTATCATCCATCTATCTATCTCTATCTATCTATTTGCTTTCTCTGCTGTTCCAATTAATGAATAGCTTCCATATTCCGTGCATTCCTAAGAATAAAAATACAATAACTATAATAAGAGATACTGCAGCAACAACAACAAAACTATTGCAAGCAGTCCTCGTATTGGGAGCTTGAGAAGCAGTGCAGGAAAAAGATTTTGCAGCAACTTTCACCAGTAAAAATAATTCTTAAAAAAAAGAGAAAAAGAACAGATGCTCTCTGGTATCGCTTTAATAAGGGGCAGGTAAGCATCCTCCATATGAAGCCCCCGACCCTTCCCTTTTTATAGCCCCAGATATTCCAAGGTATTTTACTCCCTCCCCAATCAGGAAAGCCCCAGGTGAGAATGCTGGAGTATCCAAATAGTGTCAATTCTAACTGAATGAATAAACATATACAGGCAATGCTATAGCTAAGAATGCCACCCCATTCCCACCACTTATATCGCTATCATAGCCCTTAGGGCCTGTGATACATGAAAACAATATTTTAAGACATTAATTACGGTAAGGGGGAGGATATTATTTCTTTTGCGTACATACAATTAATGTAAAACCTCTACAAAGAATACATTTGAATGGAGTAGTCAATGCAGAGATAATCTAAAACCCAATGCCAACTCCTAGTATTTGGAATTACTGTATTACAAGCTTCTCAAAGCACAGATTCCTGAATCCTTTGATGGAAGAAACTGGTGAGGCTTCCTTCCTTTTGCTTGGAATTATCTGGGGGAGTTGTAAATGGGCATGTGCAATGAGAAACGAGACAGTCCAGGAAGAAAATTAAGATTCATCTAATCAAGAAGCCACTATGAATCATGCTTGGCATCGTTAACCATAATGAAGGCTCGCTAGCTTTTGCTGGATATCCTCTTTCTCCTTCTCTCTTGATAACCTTGTTTGGCTAAAACAGTGTTCCAAACACTACTTGATGGTCAAGTGCCAGGATGAGAAACCAAGACCCAAAGGCTGCAAGCCTACATACATTTACTTGAGATTAAGCTCGTATAACTCGGTGGGATTTACTTCTGAATAAATACGCATAGAATTTAAGTTTATGGCCAAATAAATGCATATAACAAATCTGATCCTTTAACTGTTTTCCTGGGAAACCTTATTGCTGAAGACCTTGTAAAACTGCTTTACTTCAGTGTATCAGCAAAATGAAAAATGAAAGATAATTTTATTTTACTTTATTGAACAACTTCAAAATTATTTTCTAAATTAATTTATTATTAGCCCACTCCAAGTTTGTTGCTAGAACACAGGCTATTTACTATCATCTATCAAAGAAGAGAAGCTAAGAGAATTCTAAAATGATATGAAGCCATTCCAATTGTAGGAGAACCCTCATACTCACTAGTTCTGGGTTAATTTCAGCAATTGGAGGCAGTTTGTATTGGGCAATTTATTGCTTACGTTGGCCATGATATGTCATCCAGCCAACAAACGTTGACCTTTGAATTATATTTTGTTAATGCTGTAGGATAAAGCTTTGGAGATACAAAGCAGAAAACTATTTTGAGCACAATTATTGTCCAGCAGATTGACTGATGTATGAGATGGGTTTTTTAAAAACAATGCAAGCCACATGAGGACTCAATAAACACAGCATTATAGAATAAATAAGGTACATTGGGTGGTGGGTATGCGTTCAAATCAGTTTGTGACTCCTAGTGACTTCCTGGACAAGTCCCTGTAGGTTTCTTGAAAAGGTTTTTTTTTTACAAACATTGCCTGTTTCCTAGGGCTGAGAAAGGAAGACTGGCCCAAAGTCACCCAGCTGGGTTTGTGCTTAAGGCAGGACTAGAACTCATAGTTTCCTGGTTTCTAGCCTGCTGCTTTAACCACTGCATCAAATGTGATCTCAAAGCTACATAAACCCAGTTTATAAATCCATTAAAACTATCTCTGCTTTGTTTGACCGCAGACAGGCCTTCTCCTTCACTCCTGCACACCATGCAATTGAGCTGATAAATTTATTTATTATTGACTGATTGATTCAGTTTCTAGGGCCACCCAACTCAGTCAAGTGAATAGATATCTACAACTTCACATGTGAGAAAGTGTTCTTGATAACCCAGTATGCGTTAATATTTTCTTGCTCACAAAGAATATTATAGGGAGATCCAAGCAGATAGTAAATGATTGACACACATAGAGGAGAGAGTCAAATTGTTGCTTCACCATGAGGGATTGGAATGAATCCTGTGAGTGTAAATAGGGCCACAGAGAATCTATCTTTGACATGGGCGTGGATGAGCAAGCAGCAATCCTGTAGAAGTATTTTAAGCCATAGCATGGATTAAAGGAACAAGAAGGGCTGGTATGTGTATCATATTCCAGAGCCTGATTTCCCTTCTATTTCTTTGCTGTACTTATTCCACCCCTAGAAATAACTGAGATGAATGAAGCCAACATTCCTCCTTGTAAAACATTTTAGCGGAGTTTGAGATCAATTATATAGAAAAGGGGACAGGCAAACAGGATGACGAACAGATAGGAAATAAGTTGATTCCAATAGAGTGTTGATGGATTCGGACCTCAGTGCCAACATATTATTGGGGTTGCAAGTTAGTGCCAGAGTGAGAAATTCTCAATTTCCCCCCTCAGTTTTCATTCATTTTGATGAAAGAACATTTGTTTTCAAAATTATTTGAAATAAGAAATTCTCATGAGTGGATAATAATAATAATAATAATAATAATAATAATAATAATAATAATAATGGTGATGATGATGATGATGATGATAAAGTTGGAAGGGACCTTGGAGGTCATCTAGTTCAACCCCCTGCTCAGGCAGGAAACCCTATACCATTTCGGACAAATGGCTGTCCAGTCATTATGTCATTCTTGCACTTATTTAATTAGAAGCTG